TAAAAAAAAAAAAAAAAAAAGCTTCCGCTCACTGGACCGCTAATTAGAGAGAAGGCGAGTTCCATCGCGCTAACTATGGGCACCGAGGACTTCGAAACGTCCCGTGGCTGGTTTCAAAAGACATCAGCTGAGCAACGCTGTCTTGTGTGGGGATCGAGGGGAGGTAAAGTTAGAGAAAGTGAGTGAGTGGAAAGAAAAGCTACCAGGTCTGTTACTAGTCTCATTTTGTAGCAAGTAGTCCTAATTTTGTGACACGTCTTGTTATGTTGTATTTTGTTCATATACCTACCCGTACTATATGTATATATATATATTTTTTTTTTAAAACACACACAGACAAGCAGCAAATCCTTCCTTTTGAGTTTTTTTCGAGACGACAGGGCATCGCAGGAGCTAACTCCAGTAGCTAACAGACCCAAGAATACCAGATCCTTCCTGGTTTCGACAAAACCAGTGACCGCCACCTCACTGATTCTACTCCTGCCAGACACGTGCAAAGAAATCAAGGAGGGAAGAACCTCGGGACCGGCCTGCAGAAGACGCTCAACTGAATCTCCGTCACTCCTGTCGCTGAACTCTGCTGTCAAATGGTCATCTGAAAAGTCCAAATGTCTCATAGCGTGAAACTGGCCGAGCACGGACAGCAAACTTGCTGCCGTCATATCCAGCTGCTGAAGGCGATGGGCGACCAAACATCTGAGCGTGTTCTTGCATTGAAGAAGAGCTGAGAGGTTGGACATGGCAATACAGGAGATGTCTAAGGTCTCCAGCTGAGGGAGTGTGCAGACATCTTGTAAGACGACGTCAGTCAGGTCAGTGCTGACGACGCTGAGCGTCCGCAGGGCTTTCAAGGAGCTGACGCCAACGCTGTCTTCTCCCAGCAAGGCCCAGTCCAGACGGAGCCCGTTCACGGACAACTTCTGCAGGCTGGATCTGCACTTCAGGTTGGACGCCAAGCTGGAAATTATTTTAGCGCCGCTGATGTCGCCAGCAGTCAATGATGCATCCAGTTCTTGAAGCCAGTGAGGGCAAATGGCCAGTCGAAATGCCTCTGCAGACACCAGACTGCGTTGCATGCACGCTCGACTCAAATGCAGCTCTTTGTGGTTCCGGAAAATCCCAATGGTTTTGTCGTTCAGTATTCCTAGATAAGCAAAAAGCGTTAGAATGTTTCCAATCTTTTCATAGCTTTGGTGTCAAATTCAGGGCCCGGGGGCTAGATACAGCCCGCCAAATCATTTGATGATTTGGCGGGCTGTATTGTAGTGTAGCCTTGCCTAAAGTAGATGAAGTCTACTTTAGGCAAGGCTAGGCAAGGGAAGGCCCATTTAATATACACAAGACAACTCAATGTGCTTCACACAAACAAAAGCACAACCCCGAAAAACATTTACAAACAGCTGAAGATATTCAAAGGCAAAGCAAAGAGAACAAAAGTGTCTTTCTGGGGAATTATCAAAATAAACTACATTGAACACATTTAAATACATTTACAAACAAAAGATTTAATTGAATTTAAAAGCAAAATAAAGAGCAAAAAAGCACCGTGGCAGTTTACTTCATCTACGCGCAGCATAACATAAAATCCAGATAGATGTGTTCTTTTTATTTTGTCACTTGAACCAGTTTTAGAAGCATTTATTTTCACCATGTCCCCTCTGCACATAAACTGGACATTATTTCATGACAGATTTGCTTGCCACGATTTTCATTGGCTTCTAATATCAAATTCTTATTTTTTGGTGTGAAATACATATATAAACAGCATCTGCAATCAAATGAACAGGCAACTGCGTTTCTGCAATAATATGATGAGGCGTTTAGACATTCAGTAGGTTTTGGCAGTAATAGCCTCCTGAGGGATGATGTGGTCCAAGACAAAAATGTTTCCAACCCCTGATCTATTGTTAGCTGAAAGAGAACGTGGAAAATTTGTCCTCATCAGATTTGTCGTGTTGTATTGTGCGAAAGTGCAAAAGCACCATTAGTGTGTTCAGCTAAGCAACGCCACAAAAAGCTTACATGATACAGATATGGGGGATGACACCGGTCATTGGTCGTCATTGATGGCACCCTGATGTGTCTTATGCTTTACAAATTATATTGAGTGCTGTGAAAAGGGGTCATTATAAATATGAAGTGAGTATAAATGAATGCACAACAAGTGCGGTAGTCATTCATAAACCGCTCCCGACTGACCTTTTGTGGCCATCTTGCGCAGTAGCTGGTCAGCTATCTCCTGAGGGAAGAACGATGCCGAGGCGAGGAGCAGAGAGACATCTGCTCGTTTTGCTGCACAGCTCATCCAGGCTGCAGCACACCTGAGCAATGCACAGCTCAAACAGCGTGTGGGGGACCTCCCAGTACGAAGGCAAATCAGCGACAATCGCAAGTGTCAAACTACATGTGCACAAATACACAGTCACGCTGGTACGCCCGTAACATCTCTTGAGATGTTTAATTGAAGGATCAAATCTTTTACTGCCATGACGTTGCTTGTAGTGTGTAGATCAGTAGGTTTTCCATTGGTGCCTCTGGACCAAATAGTGGGCGACTGAACAATTTTTGGTCGATTGCAGAGAAAATCAAGGCGGGTCGTCCGTCATACGACAATACCAAGACTGCATTTTGAGGTTATCCAAATGGTGCGCAGAAAGGCAACCAAAATAGTTGATACAAGAAGGCATGCTACTGCCGCACTGACTGTGTTTCATTTTATTGATTTATTAATACAAACTAAAGTGTTTTTGTCCCATAAAAATACTGTAATCATGACTTTATTTGCTCTTTGACATTTTAGTGTTTTGTTTTTTTTTGGTCATTTTTGTATTCCGTAGTCATCAGGGAAAATGCCCCTTCAACACATAAGCAAATGTCGTTATGTTTACAAATGTGAAGTTGTTGAATTTAAAGCCTGTAAAAGTGGGTCATGTGGGTCAGGTGACAATGTGGGGTGCCAGGGTGACAACGGTTGAAAACCACAACCGCATTAGATTTGGTATGCTGTGGTAAATTAGGGGATTTCTACGGAAGGGGATTAGGGCCAAAGAAGAAAAAAAAAACAAGGTTGGCAAGATTCTCGCTTTTATCTCAGAATTCAGACTTTATTATACAGGTGCAAAGTGAAAAGTCTGCTGAGTGTCCACCATTTCCCCCAGCACTGTGACACATCATGCTCACACAGACGCTAATATTTCCTCTATGCATATGGTCAGATGTAAACATAAACACACACGCAGACTCACATTTATTTGCTTTTACTTTACATCAACATTTATCCATTCAACATGTGAAGCTCATTCTCAATCACCCTGACACATAAACAAACACATCCCCTTTGTCGGTCATGCACCAGCACCCACACTTCATGCGCTCACACACTACAAAAATAAAAACATCCTGTCGTGAATATCATAAACAAAAGCTATCCTCCCACATGGTTAAGTAGGTCTCCCCATGCAGAGCCGTCCCCATGCATCAAAGCTCGAGCCTCCTTCTCGTTTCAAAACATTAAGCTCAAAGGGGGGGGCGTTCTTCTTGCCTGAATCCTGCCACTCATTGTCCTCATGAGCACATTAACTCAGCTGCCAATTGCATTTTGGGCCGCCACAGGATGCGCACACATGCCACTTATGGCCAGAACAAATCCAAAACAGACCCGTGATGATCATCCTCAAGCTACCGGACTGTTAACGTCCTGCATTCAATTTGGTCAGAATCATACAAAAAGGAAGGAGGAGGAACGTATGATATATAGTGTCATGAATATGCGGTATTGCGTAGTGGCAGAAATCTCGTCATCTCGATTGACTTCAAGTGTGAGTTCTCACCACTCATAGTCTACATAGACAGCCGACTCTGTTCTTTCTTCACCTTTTTCTAATTGTGGGCAAACTTTTTTTTTAAAAAAGGAGGAGTGGCTCCTGCTCTCCAAAACTTGACATGACATCAGTGCAAGAAGGCAGGGCCAAGCCTCCTCTTTCCTGCGACTACTGAGTAAACCAAAGCACCAGCCTCCCTCTTTTTGCGCATGGACCACCCTCTAGTGTTCTCCGACCGGGCCAGGTTGACTGAGCGGCCCTTCATTGTCAATGAGAGCAAAGACTCAAGGAGCGTGAGGAGAGCATGGAGGCTATGACAACTCACCGCGGCTAAGACCCTAAACTGCATCCCTCAACGTGCATCTGCTGGACCGCTGACAACCAAGAGAGGTAAGAGGTCATTCTTAAATGTAGTGTGAAAAGAATAAAAAGAATTCCTATACGCAACATCCTCAGCCGCCGCTATGAACCAAGTCATTCAAAAGTCAGGCGCCTCCGTTGAAAGAACCGTCTTTTTATTTATTTTTCACATTCTTTCTGTCTGTCAGACCTCCTCATCGTGAACAGTATGCACAAAGCTTATATGTCATCTCTCAGGACCCAAATAGACTCTGATTAAACCCGTCTGTTCCAAGAAGGGGGGGGGGGGGGAATGCCGTGGGATAATTGGCACCGTCAATAACCTCGAGGCAGTTTGATGTGAAAAACAGGATTCTCCGGAAAGTAACATTTTGTGCCATATGTTTGCTGGAACTGAACCCAGGTAATCAACATGGGCGCTCAATGGAGTCAGCCAGTGGTCAGAAGCAGCAACCCCTATAAAGTTTGGCATGTTTATTTGCAATAGGTGGATTGATATCGCGCAAAAAGGTCTCGCACCGGGAAAGGAAAGCAGCTGGCTCCTCGAAGGCCTTGCAGGCGTGAATGACAGCGAGGAGGCAGCGTAGGTTAGGGTTGCTGATGAGATCCACAGGCCCGGAGTGAAGAAAACTATATAAACACCGTCGCGCCTGTCAGGCCGCAGCCTCCTTGTGAGATTCATATTCAGAGACGGGCAGACGGGGGAGCGAGTGATGATTTCAGAAAGACGGGAAAAAGTACCCTGTGGGTGAAATCAACTGACTGACAGTGCCAATGCGTTTCTCAGCTCTGACACATGGCCCGTTTTTCCATAAATTGTCTTTTCCTTACCCTCAAATGATGCCCGAGAACAAGCGGATTATTGTTTACCAGAGATGACAGCCGCGGGGAGTTGTTTCAAATGTATATCCGTGCGCAGACACTTTCCCACTGTGGCTAAGTTGTTGAGATTTAAACCACACACAAACACTTGACATAAAGGAAAGCATATATTTCCAGTGACGCTGACAAAGGAGTATTATTCTTCCTTCGGAGCAGTTTGAGCTTCCGTAATGCTTTGGGATCTCTCCCATTAACTGTGGTGCAGACTCATCAGTACGAGCACGCATCAAGAGGTGACCACAGGAATGATCCAACCAAACCTTCTGTCTGCATGTCTTGAGCTCATTTATTTCTCCCTTTTATTTGGCATTTGTTGTAATTCCTTGTTGGACTTGTTTGGAGCTCCACTGAGAAGTCGGTCGTGCAGTATTCTGCATATGCCTTTACGCTCTTGAAAGTCACGTGTTAAAAAGCCAGTGATGCCAGTCACACGATACTCCATATATGCCCATTTTTGAGTCACGACTAATTTAACGCAATCACTTTTCCAGACAAGTATTCAGATGACAGTAATTTTTCGGATATCGGAAATCATTCGTGAGGAGAATATATTGACGTCCACATGCGGGTAACATCAGAATTTTTGAAAGTGGTAACCTTCATCCTCACATGCGAATTGCAGTCAACCACGTGCAAGATGTGGCAGTGAGAAAGAATTGACAAGACGAAAAATAAAGAGCACATATTTCTCGACCGCAGTGCCTCCCTCACACACGTATTGCATTGGAAAAATGAAAAGTTCACGAACAGTAAAATACAGAACACCTCCTAACACGACGGTACTCACTTCCGTCACATCACTAATAACTTTATTCACACACATAAGAAAGGGAAAGTCTGATATTTACAGCTTGAACATTATGCATTGTGGGAGTATTCAAATTTATATTCACGTCTGAGGGAGCGACATCATCGTTTTCAGCGGAGTGTCGATTCAGGTGTCCATAAACACCAGTGGAGGAAAAAGAGCGATTTTCATTTTCAAGGTGAACTATTTTGAGTTTCTTTTAGCCAAAAAAACGATAATATTTAAATTTGCCGCACACTCTGTGCTGTCGACAGAGTGACATGTAGCTTCGATAACCCTGAAAAACAAAACATGGATTGCTTTCATACTTCAGGAGAATGTCACAACAGAGTGTGAGAATGCAGCAGGCCCCCAAATGTAATCATTATATTTGTAAAGAATATATATGATCACTGTTGAGTTTTGCCATTACAACATCAATAGTTAAATCCGTCTAATAAAAAGGCTGTCTTTATTTTAGATTTTGTTTATTCTTTATTCTTAAATGTCACTGTTAAAAATGCACTTTCAATTAAGCGGCTAAACTGGGTCTCATTTTTATGCATAGCTGGGTCGTCGGCATCAGCTGACTGTAAACTAACTTGCGATCTGTTAGTTATTTTCTAACAAGCAAGTAATCTGTAAAGTAACAGCGTTACTTTTTCAAGGTTACTGCGGCCACACCGGTTGAACGTAACCCCAAATTGGGTGAAGTAGCTAGCCCACCGCTGGGTTCAAAAGGGAATGACTCACTGACAGGTTATTTACACCCAGTGCGTTGGCTTGAGAATTTGAGCTGGCAAACGGATCAAGATTTTCATCCAACAAGTGGTAACAGCTCCCCATGCTGTTGCGTTGAATCACTCCAGAAATGGGTTGCCAGGTCATAAGTTTAGCTGTGGTTAACAATAACAATTTTACTCCCAACATTTTCTATGAAGAAGAACCAACTTTCTCCTATCAGCAGTCGCCACAGCAAGTCACTCGCGCGGCGTATTTGGCACACAGGACGCTGTTCCCAACACAACGCACCCCTTTTTATCCTGGCTGGGCTGGTAATCAGGATAACAAAATGGCGACCAGTTTCGGCTCCTCAGACCACCCAAACCTATTAACTGGGTCCAAAAAAATACCCCAACCATGGGAAGAAATGACCCAATGCTCAACATCCACAGCAATCCAGCAAGTGGGTTAGGAAAACAACCTAGCAAATTTTTTTTCTGCGTTTTTTTATTCATATAGACAGCAGACAGCCTTCTTGGATGGAAGCGGACCATTGTGCCAAGATCTACTCAAAGCTGGAGGCCCATTGGCCCTACTTTCGGAGCCAAGCCTGCTTTTATTTGAAGGAGGGAAACATCTTTAACCTTCACATATTTGAACGTCACCCGTTTCTTCTCCATTTGATAGCCCGTCAAAACCAATAAGAACCAAAGAACACACGCAATCCTGCCAAAAGCTGACTCAATCGCGCAGCACTCGTAAATCAGTCATTCCTCCTCCCCCCGTTGCTTCTGAAACCCATCAATTTCCTCTATTTCTCACACAAATTCTTTTTTTTTTTTTTATTAGCGTCAGCCAAGATGGAATAACACACACTGAACAGAGTCCGAGTAGCTCAATAAATGTCTGAGACTGACTTTCATTTTCCATCAGCATGGGAATTCTCATCACAAACCAGCGCAGGTAAGCCGAGGTTCATGGCAAATGGGCCGACGTATTAAAAACAGATCCCAGCACTTTCACATACCCGGACACCTGATACTGATGTGGCGAAGGCTGTAATTAAAGAGAACCCACAAGCGAATGCACCGAAAATATGATTCTTGACAATTTTTGGTGGGTGGGTGGCATGTCTCAAACTCAACCACAAGCGAACCAGAGGGCCTGCGTTTCCAAGACGCTTTTTAATTACACAGACCGAAGTCTCTTACCATATTGAGCTGCAGTTCGACTTTCACATAACTGCCTTTCCAATTATTTTGAGTTCATAAAATGCATTTGCATTCAAGAGCAGCCGTTAGCAATTAACGGGAAGATTTTTGCTCACACAAAAGAAACGTATGATTTTTCGCCTTTCACGCTAACAGTGCGAGTGGAAACCCACTGGTTGCGTCGAGCAAAGTCAGTAATGGGTGCATTGGGAAAGTGCCCGGCTGGTTTAGGAAAATATCAGGCCGTTTATGAAAAGGAATCTGCCTGAATACTTATAAGAACGTTATAAATAGCAGCCAGGGTCCTCGGGGCTCAGTGGCACACACATATTAGAAACATGTGAGCGACAGGATGGAATTTCCCCACAATAAGGTAATAAAACCTTGAAGCAAAATGTTCTTTACTTCTCGATGTCTTCACAGAAACCCTTGTTTATGGTGACACATCAAGAGTGAAAGAATGGGACCTGGAATGTGGAGTTGGTTGACTTTGTTTGGTCTGTCCCTCTGGAGCAACAGTGAAGCCCTCATCAAGAACCCCGTCCTCTCCCGGGCACGGAGAGCTCCAGAGGCCAATGGACAAAACAACAGGTGCTCCTACACCTTCCTGGTTCCCGAGCAGAAGATCACAGGCCCCATCTGCGCAGCCAGAGGTCCTGTCCCCGACAAGGACCGAGTGACTCGTCTTGATGTGGCCGCAGTGCGCGACCTTCTGTCAAAGCAAAGGCGGGAGATGGAGACTCTGAAGCTGGTGGTGGACGTGGACGGAAACCTGGTGAATGAGATGAAGCTGCTGAGGAAAGAAAGCAGGAATATGAATTCCAGGGTGACCCAGCTCTATATGCAGCTGCTGCACGAAATCATAAGAAAGAGGGACAACTCACTGGAGCTGGCTCAATTGGAGACACGCATCCTGAATGCCACCGCTGAGTCACTGCGGCTGTCTTCCCGTTACAAGGAACTGGAGGCCAAATACGCTGCCCTCTCGGCCATGGTGAACAACCAGTCAGTGATGATAGGAGCTCTGGAAGAAAGTTGTATGAAGATGCATGATCGCAAACAAGAGCCGCCGCCTCTTGGGCCGCCGATGGTGCATGTGGTGCCTGAGAACATCCCTGTTAATGTACCGCGTTTCACCAATGAGATCCGGGGGGATAATAGTGGAAGCTTTGCCCGCGAAAGGGGCTCTCGCTCTGGGCCTTCACCAACGGGTGGCAGCATGGAAGTCCAGAAACCTCCTCAGACAAACTTTAGTGCTGAAGGTGAGTCAAGTGTACATACAAAGAAGAATAATGATCATTACGGAGGGGCTGGGGTGAATCTCTCCAATTAAAGTCGATTCGTACGTGTGTGTGTGTGCGTGTGTGTGTACATTTAGAAGTTTAGAAGTTTAACTTACAAGTTTAACTGCATAGCCAGGCGGCCTGGTGGTCCAGTGGTTAGCGCATCGACCTCACAGTGCAGAGGTACCGGGTTCAATTCCAGCTCTGGCCTCCCTGTGTGGAGTTTGCATGTCCCCGGGCCTGTGTGGGTTTTCTCCGGGTACTCCGGTTTCCTCCCACATTCCAAAAACATGCATGGCAGGCTGAGTGAACACTCTAAATTGTCCCTAGGTGTGAGTGTGAGCGTGGATGGTTGTTCGTCTCTGTGTGCCCTGCGATTGGCTGACAACCAGTTCAGGGTGTCCCCCGCCTACTGCCCCAAGACGGCTGGGATGGGTTCCAGCATGCCCTGCGACCCTTGTGAGGATAAATAAATCCAAAGAGAGAGAGAGAGAGAGAGAGAGAGAGAGAGAGAGAGAGAGAAAGAGAGAGAGGAGCTTCAGGTGCAGAAAAATTTTACATGTACTTATTGGACTTAAATAGGCATTTCTATGAATGTATTTGTTCATTTGCAGAGCATTCACTACTTTGCAGGTCAACCATAAGAAAATTAAACACACTCCTGTTTGAGTTTAGGTGGTCCAGTGGCCTCATTTTCAAAGGTTAAAAGATTTGCAAATTCAGCTGCTGTTGGACTCCTTGCTCTACAGAAAGCCTAACTACCCGTATGGAAATACAAATGTTGTCATGTCTGAAGTGAGGCTGGGGACTTAAAGCAAAGCAAAGAAAATCTCACCAGCTCGATTTTGCTCATCAACAGAAATTCCTTGCACATTTAGCTCACCCTCACCCAAGAATAATAAAGTGTGTAAGGTTTCTGCGCAGCTGTATATGGAAATGATCCCATTCGAGACTGTTCCATTGCATCGCAGACATGGACCAAACCCAGACTGCCATGATAGGCTCAAACCACTAAATGCCTCTGGGATACCGAATCCAGTGCTTAATATTTCATAAACTACACCATGAAGACAAATGAAAAGATTCCATGTTCGTTGCATCGGGTTTATTTTCCTGTTGACTGTAACACACGTGACTGTAATTAAAAATCCCGAGCACGAGGAAACACCTTGATGAAAAGCAGACACAATGTATCCAGTAGTTAAGGAAGGAATGAGGGTAAATAATGAACAAAATAACCTAATTAGCCCCTCTTTCCTCTGCTCCTCTCCCACTATTACTCGGTCAGGCTCTGAGAGTCAGTTTGCTCGACCAGATGTCAACAAATTGGCAAGTTTTTTGTTTGAAACGCTCACCCCATCCAGTGTTGCAGCAAAGGATTCGGAATTAGAATTGAAGGGTCTTCTGAATGATCCGATGTAATCTCCAAATGACATATACAATTCAAAGAAAATCCAAAACATAAACTTTGACAGTTTACTGCTGTCATCGCTGCAGGAACTAAACGGATGAACAAATTACACTGCGCCTAATTCACAGAAGCCTCAGCTCGCAGTTAGTGTACACTACAGATTACTATAGATTAGTGTAGTGTTTCAGTTTGTAGTATTTCAGTTTGTTTTACTGCCAGTGAGGGGAAACTGTTATAACTGTTAGAACAAAGATGAATGGTTCTTCTGGAAGCCAACGTTCTATAATGCCCTTAGGATGGCCCATTGTAGAGGACCCCAATTCATTTTCTCTCCCCCACGAGAATCGATTTCACATCTTTTGTGACCCAGTTAACCCGTTCATGGTCACAAATGCTGATTTAAGATTCATTACACCCAAGCCTTAAGACTGGACTGACATTATCAATTGCTGATGTCATGTGTCTGTGTCAGCGTGTCTCTGTTGAATTGTCTCACGCCCCGCCACATTTTTGCCATTCGTTCCATCATTTAAGTCTTTATGTGCAAACTGGATGAACAAGTTGTCATAATACGACTCGTTCTTTTTCCCGAAAGGTCCATTCAGAGACTGTCTGGAGGCTCAAGAGGCCGGCCACGTTATCAGCGGCATGTATCTGATCAAACCTGACGAGGCCGAGAAGTCCCTGCAAGTCTGGTGTGAGCAGGATATGGACAACGGAGGCTGGACTGTGATTCAGAGTCGAAAGGACGGCTCTGTTAACTTCTTCAGAAACTGGGAAAACTACAAGGTGATTACACTGCCACTGTTTGGTGTTTCCTCAACCTCAGACTGCTTCAGCCAGAGATACCGGTGTTGCTTTTATGGGACCTGCAGGAACCTTGTGGGCAGGCAGGGAGGGGGGGGGGGACTCTTTCCTTTCAGTCAGAATCCTTCTGTTTTCATTGTGAAAATATAATGCCGCATCAGCAGTGTTATTCATCCCAGGCTTTTTAGTTGGAGATTTCCATGATGAAACATTAGCTGGCTCGCTGGAAAGGTATGTTCCGCAGCTCAATCTGTAGGGGCTTCTTTCCAAAACCGCTACTACTTTAGTGCCTTCCTGGACGCATGGCTGGTTGGTTAAGTGCATACCACGACATACGGCCCTCTCATCAAAGATCCGTGAAGAATAGGTGGAGTATATCACCGCTGCAAGCCTGGGTTGACCATTCAATGATCCATTCAACATGAGAATGTTTAAGTGGGAGTTAAATTGCCCTCTCTTTGACATTGATTTCCCTTTGTGCTCTCCCACAAAGCCATAACAAGCCTGCACGCATTCACTCGCACACACACACACACACACACACACACACACACACACACACACACAAACAAAGCTCAAGAGGGGAGGAGTCACACTGAAACTCCTCCTCATTCAGCAAATGCACTCATCCACATTTACAAACCTCAACCATGTTTACTGAGTGAAGTGTTATGGAGGCAAATGGCCAGACTTCCAGATTATTCAAGCCAGTTAGTGATTGTGATTGATGAGGTCCATCGTGGTTGACTGGACCAGCATTCAACGGTGGTTAGTTTCCAAAACGAATACTTCACATCTTATGCACGCAAAAACAGAATGGAGCTGACGCTCCAATGTCATAGCCAGAAAACTGTTGCCCACATTGTCCCCATACAGTAATTGATGAGCCTGAGGATATTCTGTGAAGAATAAAATTGAAATTTGAAGAGAGGACTCTCATTCTTTTAGAACAATAATCTCAGAAAGTTCCCAATGGAAAAATATGCATAGGGCAGGATAAGGTATCAAAGCAACAAACATATTTTTTATATTTGTTCCTTATTATCCCCCACTCGTGATTGTGTCTTGGAACAAAAAAAAAAATCTGGTTGTTTTACTAACCCACTCAATGGCTAGCATTGGATTTTAAGCAGATTGGGTTACTTTTACCCGAGGTGACCCTTTGTTGCAGGGGTGTCAAGCTCATTTTTGTCGCGGGCCACATCGTAGTTACGGTTTGACGTGGAGGGCCGTTATGAATTTTGGGAAACCATATAAATGTTTAATCACCTCCACATATTACATACACAGCGCACAACAAATTGATGAATAACTAGTTTCTAAAATCAGAAGTCAAGAATAATGACTGTTATTGTGGATTACATATGAAATTTTGGTTCAGGCTTTAGCAAGCATCATAGAACTTCACATGCTTGATTTGCTTTCGCGGGCCACATAAAATGATGTGGCGGGCCAGATCTGGCCCCCGGGCCTTGACTTTGACACCAGTGCTTTGCTGGATCAAAATCTTGACCCAATGCGCTGGGTCAAATCCTCAACCCAATGCACTAGGTAAATAAAAACCAGTGTCGGCCTGGCCCCTTTTGGACCCAGCGCTGGGTTCGCTGTTTCACCCACTTTGGGTTACTTTTAAACTAGCCTTTGTAAGAGTGCAAGAATAATTTTCGCTAATCTTTTTTAAACCTTAATTTTAATCTTCCTGTCACTCAGAGCGGGTTTGGCAACACAGATGGGGAGTACTGGCTCGGGCTAGAGGGCATTTACAAGCTGGGACGTCAGGCCGACTACAAGCTCCAGGTGGAGCTGGAAGACTGGATGGACAAGAAAGTGTACGCTCAGTACAGCAGCTTCCACCTCGAGCCTGAGAGCGAGGGCTACCGTCTGCGGTTGGGCACTTATCGAGGCAATGCTGGCGATTCCCTCAGCAGCCACAACGGCAAACAGTTCACGACTCTGGATCGAGACAAGGATGCCTTCTCAGGTACCTCTCCTAGCCTTGCCGACATCGCAGTCACACATTCCACAATGCACTGCACTCAATGTCCAGAAAGCCATGTCGACAGGACAGAAAACGTCGCGAGTCTGACATCTGATTATTATAACTCATTGAAGCGGCGGTGCGTCATTTTGTTCGCGAGTTACCGTCTCAGCGGAACCTTTCCTCGTCTGAAGTCAAACGTCACAATTTTTGCAGTTTTCAATACAGCAAACGTTTTCAATCATTCATTGGTTCATATTCAAGAGCGTCAAACAGGCGTTCATCAAGCACTTACTTTAGTTTAGCGTGGTTTCCGACAAAGGCTGATTATAAAGTCGCGTTCGTGTATTTTAGCTGCTATTTTGGTAATCAAACTTTCACCCCAACTTCTCCCGTCGCAGGTAACTGTGCCCATTTCCACAAAGGAGGCTGGTGGTACAACGCTTGCGGCCAAGCCAATCTGAACGGCGTGTGGTACAGCGGAGGCGTCTACAGAAGCAAATTCCAAGACGGAATCTTCTGGGCTGACTACGGCGGCGGCTTCTACTCCATGAAGTCCGTCCGCCTGATGATTCGGCCCATAGATGGATGAAGCGACACTGGACTGTGTTGGTCCACTCACCAAACTTGAAGCTCCTTTTTAAAGTGCGATGTCAAAGGTCATCGTTGACAGGAGGGTTCCACCAGATCAACATCAGTAGTGTATAGCGCTCCCTCCTTTTTCAGGTTGGACTGCTCTGTTTATATGTACATGCATATCGCTAAAGAAACATAAATAGGGACATGGGGGGGTGTATTTATAAGATGTATCGTGACCCTAACCAATAATTTTCTCTAGCTATGAAAGAAAACGAACGACTGCAGGTGCAGTTTAATCAACGTTATGCAACTCGATATTGCAACATATCTAATTCGACCGCCTTTGTTTCCCTGATCCCCTGCTCCATCCAAACAGCAGCTGTAAGGATTAAAACGGTAATGCTGCTCTTCCTACCTCACCGCCAATATAAACATTTGTAGGAAACACACATTTTTGGGATTTAACTTGTGCCGTAGTTCCTAGAAACTGGAAATTATCGCTTTATTTTGACTCACCCCTCCTTGGAACGAGGCTTTTCATTTTCTCTTAACACTTGGTATGACCTTTGTGAGATATGTTTGAGCAGAAACTCTTAATTTATATGTACAATTAACTTAACATAACAATGAAAAGGGCCCGGTGTCCTGAGAGAAAGGATGTGTAGCAGTCGTGTAGTGCGCGTTCTCACAGTATAGCCATGTGTTGCTTGTTTTACTCCATTTGGTTTTGGTGAGTCTCCCGGAGTAGGAGTTGTGAAATGGTGTGTTGTTTTGCAGAGTTTTAAGAGTTATAGGCCCTTAGACAAACGATGAGAAACACATTTCACGAGGCCAGACATGGTGGAGTGAGAAAAAAAAGCAGATTTCCAAGTTGGTCCCGCGTGCCCCCTTTTAAATACAGACATTTACATTCTTTCCACACACACAAAAAAAAAAAAAACTGCTTGAACTGTTTGTTTTCGTCACGGGTCGGCGCGCGCGCGGGAAACACTAATATGAAAGTCAAGTTTGCCTCTTTGTAGAGGAGAGGAGTGGACATACGACACGTGAAAGACAACAAGCCTTTGGTCCCCGAAACTGAAAATGGTCTGCCTTATTGCTCCATGTGGCTGTTTGACCGGATCGGCCTTCCCACTCATCACTTTACAAGGGTTACGGGAAATGAAAAGTTCCTTGCTTGTGATTGTTCACAAATTAGCGGCCCCCTCTCATTTACTGCGGATCAAACGACCTCCCTTGTGAGATTCTGCGCATTTACTAAGACCCGGTTACGACTCATGTGTTTTATTCTTTGTTGAGATGACAACGCGCATTCCGAGTTTATTTTATGGATGTGAATCGTGCAGATAAATGATGGTATTAAATCGAGTGGAAGAAACTGATTTTCTCTCTGAAAAAAAAAAGAAGTTGTCCAAGCGATGTACGGGAACATTCTGTACTTGACTTCATTGAAATGAGGAATTCTGTTTAACACTGATGCTTGTGTGATCCTTGTTGTCGCAGCAACAAGTTGACAGAGGGAAGATATATTTCAGGATGACATTTCATCCAGACGCACATTTTTGTGGATGAGTGGAAAAGAGCAATTCATCAGTTCATGTGTGACTCAGAACCACAATAATTTATGACATTTTATTAGAGTATTCGTCAAACCATTGTTTGTTTGTGTTTTCCAAACACTGAGACTTTTACTCATTTTGTGCATTCTAGTGCAAAATCAAACATAGCCTGTTAGTTTTTTGTTTTTTCATTTGAAAGGGTATGCATCATCTGGCTGGAAATGATACATAATAAGGGCAAAAAGTCTTCAAGAAATGAATGTTATTTTCACCAGATTCCATTCAAATTCACTTTAATTCAAAATTTGGCATGAATAATTTGATTGGAGGTTATAAAGTACATTTTGTCATTTGATGGGAATTGGCTTTTATTCAACCAATTTGACATTTCGTTTCATGAAACTAAACGTCTTCTTTGTTTTAAGTAAAATGGCTGCATTTAAAAACGTGTGGAATCCTCGGGGCGGCGGGAGTGCGGTCGGCTCTCCGAAAATCGGTTAACAGCATGATGTCATCGCAAGAGCCGCAGGAAGAGGTCCTCTATAAACTCCCCCGTGGCTGTATGGGCATTCAAGGACTTTCCAAGAGCAATTTGGAAAAGTGACACTCCTCAGTCCTCACTTGTGAGCAGTGCTCACTTTGCTCGACTTCATTGTTTATTGTATTTTCATATTCTACCAACGGGATGGCATCGCCAAAGGAAGACTTCTTACGGAGGATCTTTCCAGCTCCGTGCTGCATTGCGAAATTACATCTGTAACTGACTCATTGGCCCCACAAATGCTCAGTTTGTGTCATCAGCAGACAGGATGTGAAGCTGTTTTCACTGAAAATACGGCACCGTGACGAATTTATTTCCCGTAGTCAAGCCGTTGTACCACCTAAGAATGTTCCTTCCCGTGTGCCCTTTTTGATTTAAAGCTGAACGGACACTTGTTTAAAATGGATAATCATTCGAAAGGATCTGGGAAGGCTCAGTCTGCCACAGACTGATGCAGTTTCCACTCCGAGTTTGTTCAAGTGATTTTCCGTGTTGCCGTGCTGAGATTGTGAAAATGAGACTGATTTAACATGGGTTTGTTTAATTGTGGGGATACATTAACCAAGCAACCAATACAAACCAGATAAAACAAACAAAGGAACACTGGAGACAGAGCGCGGCGTGCTGCTTGAGTTTCAGCAGCCTTTTAGGAGAACATGCCTGATTGTGAGAAGTTGTCGCATAGTTTCCGTTGTGACACGACAGGACATGCTGGTTTATTGAATTTCCTGACATGATCATACAGTAAACACTCAGAGCACTGTAAAGTCAGCATTAGTCACTCAACCGGAGGACCCAGTAGTGCACAACAGCAGAAAATAACTTTATGGGGGGCTAGAAATTCCATTCCGCAGTTTGTGTAAGAGCTTATCGAAGGCTTCACAAGCACCAAAGGCCACATCAGGCTGACTAGTCAACTGTTGATTCAATATCAAACGCAAACCACTCGGGAGAGAAACGAAAATGCCTAAACACTTTTGTTAATTTGGATTCAGAATGCTTTTGTTGGACATTTGTGTTTGGTAGATTTCTACTTTTCTACTATCACAATGCTTCATTCAAATACATTTTGCCTTTGGAAAGCCAGTCAAGTTTTTTGTTATTGTTTTGTTTTTTGTACGAGTATGTGCGCTGCAGCCACGCAAAATTTGCCAAATATTCATTACAAATGCCGAAAATGTAGTCTCCTTTGAAAAAAAAAAAGGAATTGACAAATGGTCAGGAGCCTCCGGAGTGTATGCAAGCACGCATCCCTCGCTGTGCTGATCACCAGCCTGGTCATACTGCGGTGGGATATCAGTCAATCCCCTTAATGTGGTCGTATTTGTCACACCAAACCTGATCCAGGTCACTTGAGTCAATATGGGAATGGACCAGTATCACTTTGCAGCTAGAGAAACAGTCAGTACCATAAAGCAGAACATAACCTAACAGCATGCCACTGTGACGCATACATCGAGTCAACACATATCTAATGCCATGATAAAAAAAAAAAAAAAAAAACATTACATGTAAATATAATACATTGTACTCACCAAGCATACTGACTATTAAATGTATTCAGATGTTCAACTACTGATGTGTTTTGCTACGACACAGATGAAAAATGTTGACTTTACTGTTTGGTTAAAGAGACACCCCCTTTGCTAATATATATATTTTCAGTTGTGTAAGTCAGGAGGCTCTGGACATGTTAGAGTGACATCGCAGTCCATAGAGGCCAAAATCTGATTGGACAAAAAAAAAAAATAAATCAAACATCCTCATGGAGAAGAGTCTGTTTCATGTAACAAACATAAGACTTGGTCGGGTTGTAAAAGATGATGAACAGAGCACTCTGGGTGCCAGCGTTGTCATCTTGGCGAGTGGAATTCCATCCCAGACTGCGGCATTGCTACAAGTTTGCAAAAAAGCCATCTTATCGCTTCATATCGATTGCCCTCATTAATGACAAGACTATTTTTGTTCAAGCGATGAAGCTTAAAAAATAGCAACTGGAGAAAAATATGTGTTTGCATAGGCAGTGAAGAGCTGAAATCCCGGTGCAATGGACAAACTCAGTTGTCTGCACATCCCTCAAATATGTGTTCTCTGTTAAAAATAAAACAAACGGGTTTTATAGTGGGATAAAATGTACTGACAAGATGTAACACAGACATAATATACACGAATATTATGCTTACACATCTGCAACTATGCTGTACACTGCTGTTCTGTAGACAGGATTACACATGTGACAAACGACATTTTCCACACCGTTTTTAAAAAACTCTTTCCACTGGAACAATTAAGATGAGGTCTCTGACGTGATATTTCAGGGGAACAGCGAGGAATAATAAATCCTGTTTTGTGTATCTCTTTTAGCCGTAAAGCCCCAAAACTATTTGAATGACTACATAAATAATACATTCGAACAGCTGGGCGGGAAGGCAGCCATAAAACATTGAGTATTGGAGATGATTTAAATTTTCCGTCATATTGGAACAAAGTTACTGAGAGCATCAACACTGATATTTATGTTGTGCATCGGGAAGAAATAAATCAAAGATATGTAACTTTTTAGCAGTAAAAGAGTAAGTCCAAAAGCAGGAGAGGAGGCCAAGAAATACTCCTCTTCCGTAAAGAAACATTGTGTTCTGTGAGAGGTTCGTACATTAAATTCAAAACAGACCATCTAAGAAGAGCATACATCCATCGCATGTGTATATTGGCACAATGGACCTTTTAAATTCTTAAAAAGCGTATTTTTTAATATTTTGTAAGCCTAGTTGATTATGAGAACAAGTGAGAGGGAGAGAGAGAGAGAGAGAGAGAGAGAGAGAGAGAGAGAGAGAGAGAGAGAGAGAGAGAGAGAGAGCTTACACACTCAACTCGAATTCAAAACCTTGCGCTGTCACATCAAGCAGAGGTAAGACAGCCAAAATAGAGAAAGAGAAAACGAAACTGGCATTGTGCTGCTATCTAGTGGTTTGTTGGTTTCATACATTTTGGGGTTTGGGTTTTTTTTTTTTTTACTCTCCTGTTTCGTTACCAGCACATAAAAATGTGAAGCTAATACTGGATTATTAAACAACGTGTGTTTAATTTATTATTTTTTTAAAGTAACCTAAGCGGTCAATGTTTTTTTTCGTCAAAGTCTAATTGGCTGCATTACATACTGTATACTGGAAACACGAAATGGTGATTCGAATCTATTTTAAGACAAAAACCAAAAAAAAAAAAAACTATGAAACCCCCAAGTTATAAAAGTCGTTGTTTAATTTTGCTGGCATTTGCGATAAAGGTTTAGACCCACCCAAAAGGGTCGCTGGGTGATGACGCATTTGTATGGCTCCTTGTACGCTATGGCATCTCATGCTAGCGAGCTTGAAATCGCGAAGAAGAATTTAACTGATGCAATTGGCGATAATGTAAAACAGTGAGTTGACACTTACCTTATGGTGATGTGAGAGTTTGCTTGGGTCGTTTGAGAGATTCGAAGTCATTTAGCCATCCCTTAAGTATGAGTAGCTGCGTGTGTGGCTAGCCTTCACACTGACGTCGGCGGCATTGCTTCTTCATTCATGTCTCATATTCAAATTAATACCACCCTGTGTTGATTCATTGTCGGGCTACTTTATTGTTACGAGACATGTACTGGTAAATGTAAAAGTGTGAATTCTGGACGTGTGAAATCCCCATAATGTGATTGTTTTGCACCACAAGTCTATACCCCGATAAACTAGAACCTCAATAAAAAGACAACTGTAAAATCTCTTAACGTGCCGTTCAAAACTAACGTGATTGCAGGTTAAGTTACGTGTGTGTTGATTATCTGCCCATATGCAGTTACTGGGCAAACCTGAAACTGTGGTTCAAGCAGAAGATCAGCAAGGAAGAGTTTGATATTGAGGCACGACGTCTGTTGGCACAGGAAAATGGTTTGTACATTATCAATAAATATGATGCTTGAGTTTTTTTCCCCAAAACAATTCTCCCAATTTTCACACACATTCTCTCTGTGCAGTCCATGTTCACAATGACTTCCTCTTGGCAATTCTGACACGCTGCCAGATCATTGTCTCCACTCCTGGTTAGTTGAATTAATCATTTGTTTATCTGTGGCATGCTGTGTTGGAACCGTTTGATCTGCATATGTACAGCACATGGTTTGCACCAATATTAATTCATATTTGTCATGACGATGATTTCTGCTCCATCATTTTCATTAGACGAGCAGCTTTTGGCTGCTCTCATATAAGGTTAGCTGGAAAAAACGGGAAATATGGCAGTTGAGACACCGCTGCCACATGTCTTAAAAATAATGTACAAAGTTTATCTATATTTTTCTTTCCTCCAGAGGGCGTTGGGCAGTTACAGTGGCAAGGTGGCTCTGCTTCTAAGCCAGGCAAACCTAAAGGAAAGAAGAAATGTTCCTCTAGACAGAAATTTGACGTGAGCGTTCCATTTTAAGACCCTGTGTATGTTTGGTTACACCCCACGACTAACCGGAGTGATACAAAAATCAGATGAATGACATTTCAGAATAACAATCAGTTTTCTCATGTAACCTATGCATCCCATTTGGTCCATCAGCATCGTTTCCAGCCTCACAACCCTCTGAGCGCCGCACAGCCATTCAGCCCACGGGATGCGGTTGGTGAGGATGAGGAACTCCGACTCAGTGCTCACACTTGGCTGTTGCCCACACGGGGTCAACTGGAGGCCCGCATGATGGTGACAGCCTTTGAGCTGGGTCTGGATAATATCACGGAGGATGCAGTCAGCGCAATGACCTGTGCTGTGGAGGTGAGTTGATAAGAGATACTGTCACACCTGGCGAGTTTTTGTATGAATTCAAATAATTATTGATCAATTCAATGTAACTGTATTTCTGTGATCAAGTACAGGGAAAATTATAAGAGTTGCTGGATTCATCGACACTTAACATATTTGTCGGACTATAAGGCCCACTTAAAATCCTTACATTTTCTCAAAAATCGACAGTGCGCCTTATTAATTCTGGCTGTGCTTACTGACCTCGCACTAATTTTACGTGATATGGCACTCAAAATGCTGTCAAAGTATTTTAGTCTGTACCGGTAGTAAATACACACTTGTTCTCAATGAAGGGTGAAGACGGGATGTTGGCTTTATCTATTTACTTTCACATTTACATCCTCATTCTCAAGTGTACACGTTTTCCTAATACTGGAACTACAACTACTTCCTGCTTTCATAGCTTAGAATCATGGGAAATGGAGCCCTACTCGTGCAAACCGTTCACTTATTTGTGCTCTATTTTAATAATTTAACTTGACCAGTAACAGATTGTTTGGATTTTATTTTATGATTTGTTTTTACTTAAATTTATGGAGAGTATTGAAGAAATGTATGAAGAGTATTTAAGTATCGAGGCTCCACTAGTCTGTACTACTTCTAGGCTGTCGTTAAGCGAAGGTAGCTGCTGAAAAGTGTGGTCTTGTCGTAAAGATAGTCAAGGAAAACAGGTTATGGAGTAAAATCTTTTCTGATTGTGAGTGCGCGCTTCCACTATTGTTTGTATGGTTTGTGTTTTTTGTGACGTCTTCCTAATTTTAGTGATGAAAAGGGTCTGCGGTCAAATAAAAGTGTGCGCCTTTTTTGTTCAATTACAACTGTGTCATTCCTTGTTGTTGTCGTTTGTTGGATTGTGCGAGGTCTAGCGATGGAAGAAGGCTCTTGTCAGGAATTTCAGGCCCTTCTGATATGTGACAAAGAAAGTCTCTGCTACATTATTAATTATATTAATTAATAACTACATTATTAATAAATAAACATTAACATACAATGCTTCACAAAGACAATGCACCTTATATTCCGGTGTGCCTTATGTATGAAAATAGATGAACATAGAACCGTTCATTGATATTTCACCTGACAATACTGTGCGTTTTACAATCCGAAAGATATGGAATATTAATTCTAGAATCTGTGTCAAGTCTTGGTATTTCAGAATTGTAACAAATGGTTGGAATTTTAATGATTTTTAAGATGTACATTTTGTCATAAGTGTGATTATGCAAATGACAGAGCAACGCCTAATTTGCATTTCTGCTTTATTGCAGCACCATTTGAAAGACGTTTTGACCGCTGTGATTTCCCGAAGGAAAGCATATCGCTTACGGGACGGCCATTTTCCTTATGCTTTTGGCAGTGATGTCACACCGCAGCCTTATCTGAAGAACAGCCTTGCTGCCTATCACAGCGTCACGGAATGGTACGAGCATTGCGCTCAATTGTGGTTTGTGTATGTAACACTGTAATTTGAACCATTTGTTTATTTCCCCCATTCAGCCCCCTTCCAAGTGCTTCTCTCCCCGCTGGCCCGCCGTCTCAAATCTCGCCAGATGAGGCAGAGCAGCAAGCCGTTCACTTGTTAGCTTGCTCTGCCGCCAGCCTCCACACGGCCCTCCCACCCGTCACCATGTTTGACCTCCTGGAGGCCTTACAGGTCAGATTCCTGCACCCGTGTCAACTTCTCATGAAGCTAGTTCAGGGTGAATTTTGTAGATTGAGATCATTTTTCACCAGATGATGAGGGCATGCAGGCTGGCGTTAAACACAAAACTTGCAAAACTCTGAGGATGAATTGTAGTCCCATGGTGGCATTAAGATAAGGCAAGGCACCTTTGTATATATAGCGCATATCAGAAACAAGATAACTCAATTCGCTTCACAAAATTAAAACTAAAACATTTGAAAGCATTTGTAATCCATAAGTGTTAATGATGTTTAAAAATAAACTAAAGAATTAAAAGTAGCTTCCTAAAGTTACAAACAGATCGTACAGTACAAGAACATGATTTTGGAGAACATCATTTTCAAAATGCTTTGAAAGACCTTAATAATAGGTGGAAGCCCGTTTGTGATGTGCGTCAGGTTAAGTTCGCGGACATCTAACTAGCACTACAGTATTTGCTTTTTATAAAGGACCGTGTGAGCACATTTTGACCCAGTTTCCACCGTCTCCCTTATCTGTTCACAGAAACGTGGTGTGACACGCTCAGTGCATTTTCGCAACAGAGCCCAGCGCAATGCATTAAATGTTAATGACTACAAATATTTAAACCATGTGGGCTGTCTGTCAGTCTGTAAATGCTGACTGACAATGATGGGGAAAAGTCAAAAGTATTCTAATTAGAATGCTAATGAGTAATGAGAGTCTTGGCGTTAAAGGGAGTCACAGCCACTGTTGAATTTGACCCGTATTTAGTGTGTTAGCGGGTGTTCATGTCAAGCCCTGATTCTTAATGTTTACACCGTGAGCTATCCAAGTTCAGTGCAAACTCTGAAATCAAATTTTCGCCATAAAGCTACACAAAACTTTCGCTTTCTAACTGGCTTCATCAGATGTGACTAGAACGTTACTTCAAAATTTCCTTTAGAGTTCAGGGTTTTTTTTGGTTTTTTTTAAATGGTGAAGGTATGAACCATCGAGCAGAACAGATTGTGTTTGACCTCAGAATTTCTGCTGCATCACCATTCATCCTGGCCTGCCTTTAATCCACTTGCATGAGATTGTTTTTTCATTTTTTTTTAATTTATATATTTTTTGGGGTAATATTTGTCTGCTCCAGGTTCACCACAGGGTGATGCCCTCGCACACCATGTATGCTCTGAACATGGAGCGCATCCTGTCACGGCTCTGGCATCCCAGCCATGAAGAACTCGAGCAGGACCACGTGCACAGGCAGCGACTTGCCGCCAAAGACGGTGTGCTCATCAGCTGAGATAACCACACAATCCACGGACTCGGTAGTGAAAGATGAACTTAGCTCTCGGGTGGAAATGGACGGGAAGTCTTATGTCCAAGGAATGCCTCCTATGTGGGAAACCTGCACTTATGTTGTACAAAAATAGGATCAATGGACCACGATGCAATAAAGCAATTGGATGGTGGACACGTGACTGTGTCAGCCTGGTGCTGGCAGATTTTCACTCTGCTCCACCAGCCTTTTTTGGCAACCAATTGCCACCTAGAGTTGCAGTTCTATAGTCAGACTGGAGTTGAAAGTGTTTACTTTTAGAATTTAGCAGCTTCTTTTGAGGTTGGGCAGTGGTCATTTTTCAGGGCTGAGGAGCCGATGACACATATGCGCATTTGATGCCCACTGTGGTACAAGTATAATTTGAGGAGCGCTATTTTACAAGTCCAAAATGTAACCTACAAATGCTCCCACACTAAATTATAGCATTTGTTTTGTGCATTTGACTTGTGTCTTACTTCAATGAAAGATTACCCTTGGATGACTCTTTACAAAAAAAAGAAAAAAAAATCTCTCAAAAGGGGCAAGGTTCCAATACCACTTTGATTGTCATTTGCGATACTAAAAGGTATTAATCAGCAGAATTCAAATGGATGTCACACTGTGAAGAAAATCGAAACATCAAACAATATTTTGTACTTGAACCAAAAAAATTATACTTGGAAAAAAGATGTGGCCAAAGTTTGAGGACTTATACATAAATAAACAGTGTTGTGAAGAAAGACTGATTAGCCAAATCCACATGCCAACATAAATTAACTAAAAGCACAGTTCACCTGATCCTTTTAAGAGCTGCCACTCAAATGCAGTCCTTATAGCGTGTTTGCATGTCTGCATGTGCTTCTGAAAAGGGCCCAGACTCTGCTGCTTTCCCTATCTCGCCTCTTCTCAATGTATTTTGCAAGTTTTCTGAAAATATATACAGTTTGATTTCGGTGACCAAGTAGGTGGCCTGATGTGTGTGCATGGCGCTTCAGCAGTATGTTATGCAGTGCCAATGATGTTATTTTTTTAATATTTCTTTGGTCCAAAACTTATTTTTTATCATTAGTTGTATGTGCAAGGAATAAAACCGAGGTCAGTTTACGTTTTTTTCCCCTGAAACATGTTCTTTCATAAAATCATGTAAAAGTGAGTTTGTTTTCTAAGTACAGTACTGTACTTTATTTCTACGGGACAGTGACTCAGAAGAGTCTTCCCAGTGTGCCGAAGACTTTTACCAAATATGGCATGTCGCCACTCACTTCCGGTGCGCGGACGTCCAATCAGAGCTTTCGCCGAATTCCAAGCTTTGACGAAACACACTGCACTGGAGGTGATTCACTTTCCTCGCGGCTTGTCACCCGATGCGATCCTTATTAAGTTGAAATATAATATCGAATGGAACTGTGCCTTCTGCGACTACCACTGTTTTGGAATTGTACTGTGTGGCAAGACATTTGCTGGTTTATATTGGACGACATTTTCCGTAACTGGGAAGTCAATTTATTTCTTTACAATATGTTCTATTCGCTCCATCTAGTCCAATCACAGCATTGTGGTTCATTTTACGTTTGTGGAATATAAATTAAGCAGCAAAATCCACCCATTTTTATCCATCTCATAGCCCTTGCTGTCGACTGAAAATGACACTACCGTTCGTTGCTTTGGGCTCAAGTTACGACCAACCATAGCTGGCCCGCTTTCTGAGTTTGGTCATGTGACATTTGCAAGTTGAGCTTTGATTGGTCCAGAGCCATGATCAACTGAGGTGTCATTTTCAGTCGACAGCTAGTGGCTAAATAGTCGACCCGGATGGACAATAACAGCTGGATTTTGCTGCTGAATTCATATTCCACAAACGCAATATTAATGAGAATACCGTGTTTAGACGAGCGAGGTTTTATTTTGTTACTTGTCCTTGAAATAATTTATTTCTTGCTAAATTCTATATTCATAAATATAAATTTGTCCAGTCAAAATCTATTTTTTTGTGTGTTTTGAAAGAACTTGATGTGTATCTTTTTATACTCGGTGCTACAAACAAGAAAGCTCTCAAAAATCGTGCTCTTATTGCAATGTTTTGAGTTCCTTTTGTATTTTTCTCCTGGGTATGTAGTTGCCAGATTTGAATAAATTGTTCATAATTTACAAAAAAAAGTTTCTGCTCCACTTACTCCATGCATCTCAAGTCCAGTATGAAAGATTTATGAAGAACACACAAAAGCATGGTTGAATCCAACATTTTATTTTGTCATCTGTACAATTGTGAAGTGCTCAAAAACGGCGTACAAATATTCAATGTCTAACATTAGTTACACCTGACCTGCATCCCAAAAGTTGCATCAATGTGAGGATTAAGAGTAAGTAAGGCAGGTAAAGTCAGTAAACGTTTCACACCTGAGTGCGTCAAAGGTTAGACCATGTTAGTGTTTCTGTACAAGTGCATCTAATGTGTTATTTATTGCAGCATGTTTGACATCATAGCATCATATTGGCTGAGTAAAGGGTTTGCGGATGCTCCCACGTCAGCACTGGATGGAGTCTAAAAACACTAAGAACCCCCTTAAAGGATGTTTGTAACAGTATGATGTCAAATATCATCTGCGTGTGGCCCAGGTTCTGCGTCATTCATCATTACAAATCAGCATGTTTACAGAAAAGCTGGAAGGAGAAAGTGCCTGAGCTGACGACCATTTGGACGTCTTCTGGCCACTCTGAGTTATTTGGTCCCCCAAGACATGTCCCATCATGCAGCACCCTTGCCAGGAGTCTAGAATGCCTGAAGCTGCTGTGTCAAGATGAGCTGACAGCCGCTGTTGACGTGGTCCATGACCTTTTGTTTGAGCAGAGCCAGCTCGTCCCGCAGGATGTTGGCAGACGATACCAACTCTGTGTGCTGGTTCTTGAGATTTTTCACTCTGTCCTCCAGACGAGATATTCTCTCCAGCTTCCGTTTCCGGCACTTGGACGCAGCCACCCGGTTCCTCATTCGCTTCCTTTCCGCCTTAATACGCTCCTGACTTTCCATGTCGATGGGAGAGAGCGGCGGCGTCTCGCCGGGCATCTCTGGCACCGTCTGGGGCTCCTCTTTCAGGGCACGAAGCCTCGAGTGCGGCGCCTGGTGATCCACGTGGGGAGCCGGTGGGGGCGCTGGGTAGCAGGCGGCGGGTGCGGGTCTGTCATTGGATCCCAGTACGGGCCGGTTGAAATTGGCCAGATTTGTGTATTCGGGGGGTTCCGGGGGGCGCACCGTGCAGCTGTAAGTGTTCTCGCCGGTGTCGGACGCGGATGAGCCGGAAGCCATTCCGGTGGCCTGCGGCGCCTCAGAGTGGGCGGCGCTCATCTGGTGGTAGTGGAGCTCAGCCAGCGCCCTCGCGAAGCCCTCGGCAAAGCCCTCCTGCTCATCGGTGATGTTCTTGGGACAGATGAATTGTGTTGGGGTGGGGGTCGTCAGGCCCGTGCACGACTGTATGATTAACCGCTCTAGCTCCGGGGAGGCCAGCTTCAGCAGACCCACATCGGGCGACGTGAGGATGTCCAGGGCCTTGGTGCCCAGCTGGGGTTTGAAGTTTCGTGGATCGTTTAGATTCAGAGTCATAGATTGTTTGAGGGCTTTTGTGTTGAAGCCGTACACCCTCGCCCCGTCCTGGTGAGTGTTCGAGGCGTTCACGGCGTCGTCGTAGAACGTCGCTTCCATTTTCCCGGACATGAAGTTGTGTCACTTTACGAGAGGAGTTCTCACCTTGAAAACAGTCCACTGTTTACATATGACTTGCTATCTCTCGGCCTTGTGACAGAGGAGTCCGCCTTTTGTCTAAGGTGAAATCACTTGACAACTTCGCGTCCCGAGAAAACTTTTCTCTCTCGACCCGCACGATCGTCGGTTAAAAAAAATAAAAAGGCGTCGTTTCCCCGCCACCAACAACAAAATGTCCGAAAAAATAATCCTCTTTCGATTGATGCTCCTCCTACAACAGAGAAAACAGTGCCTGATTTGGGATAGTACTTTCGATCACTTCCAACGTGGAGACGAACTTTATCCACCTCTGAGCTGCAGCTCCTCTGAAAATAACGATGATGTCAGTTCTAAGCGTTACGATTGGCTGGAGCGGATTCGTCGGGTGGGGTCTATCTACTGACATGGGGGTTGCTCCGACAACAGGCTATGTCCCCGCCCCCCGCGCTGCTTTATGGGATTAGGTAATGCAGACAGTGGAGCAATGGACTCTGGGATTACGTATGTGTTTTTGAATAATTAGTTACCCGCTCAATCGTTACTGAAACGCTTCTTCATGAACACGAGCAGGCAAGTTAGCCTTTCACGCGATGCTATTGGAACATATTTCTTGCTGAAAAATCTGTAGGGTTTTCAACATTTTTATGGCACACACTGACTGAGTTACATTTTTTTCTGACTCCAATACGTGGCCATTTTATTCCTTCTGTCCCAAGTGATTCCCAACTGGTGGGTCGAGACCCAGGTTGGGACGAGAGGACAAGTTGTACTCACATCCAAAATACCGGGGGGCACACAACATTCTAAAGCAGGGGTGCTAACATTGATTCAATCACAAAGCACATGTGCACATGTGCTTTGTGATTGAACAGGTTATATTGGTCAAACTACATGAATGAAAAAGGGGTGCAATGGTAAAATTCTGATTGGGGGCATAAATACAAAATGGTTTGTGTAAACAGGAAGACATTTAAAGATATTTGAAATGAAAGTACAAATAATGGCATTTATTCTTTGGCTCTATCCGAAGAGCCTGGGAGAGGCTGATTTGTGTGTGTGTGTGTGTGTGTGTGTGTATATATACATATATATATATATGTATGTATATGTGTGTGTGTTGGCAGATCTGTGTTGTT